ACCTAAATGTCCACCGGTGGAAATATGGATCAGTAAACACTGGTACGTACACAATATGGAGTACTATACAATATTAAATAGTAATGATATGTCTTTGAAACACTTTGTGACATGATGGAATTGGAGGATGTTAGTATGAAGTGAGTTAGCCAATCACAGACGGGGCGGGCAAATATTGTCTGAGTCCTGTTTTAGAAAAAAATATGTATATATATGGATATCAAGAAAAGATTGTCATATCAAAAGAACTAAGACTTCGGCTCCGAATACGGGATGGGGATGGAGCGAAGGGGAAGTAACAGGTTAGTGTGTAGGCAGATATCAACTTGGGTGAAGGGGAAGCTAATAACCAACAAGAGGGAACTGGGGGGAAGAGAAATGGAAAATGGCAAGTCTGTGGGAGGCTTGATAAGTTGTTGAATGCAAAAATGATTGTGTGACCTGTAAACCCTCACAATTCATAACAAAAATTTTAGGGGAAAAATTTAAACAATAATAATAAAATGTGAGATAGATCATGCTGCTCTTCTTCGAAGCGAGATCGGACTTGACGGCCTAAGGGGCCCAGCATGTCGCCTCTTGCATCTTGCCTCCTCCTGTAACCCTGACTTCAGTCACAGCTAAATATATTGCTGCTTCAGACAAGCGAGCCCTCTTACTGATGCTTCCCGATGAAAAGCACATGACCCACTTCCGTGCCTTTATCCTTCTGTCACTCATGTGGCTCCTGATCCATCTAGCTCAGATTTTCACACACAGTATCACTCTTCTCTTCACCCTCTCTATCTGCCTTTCCGGACTAATACTTCTCCTTAGAGCTTGCTGCCATCACATATGCTTCTCATTTATTTGATTTCAGACTGTTTCTTATTCCCCTCTAAAATATAGAGTCCAAGAGAAGTGAGACTTCTACTGATTTATTTCTGCCATAATATTGGGATAGATATAGCACATAAAACTTGTTAAATAGACACTGAGCAAATCAATCGATCAATGCATTAATGCCTAAATGGACATGTGACCTAGTCCTGGCCAATCAGACAAGAAAATAAGATTTGGGAAGTTTTTGGTGGGTTTTCGCCTCACTTTAAGTGAGAGCGCCATAAAACATCCCTCTTTACCCTACCAAATATGAACAAATGACAATATGAGCTTTCAAACAAGCAAATGAAGAATATACTTTATTTTGGCAAAGTGGTATGATAGAAAAATTCTAGACCAAGGTTGTTCATCCTCCCCCCTCAGAAGTCTGCCCTCCCTGTGAACATTCTCTGTGGTTAAGCCGGCTTGAGTCATGTTTCCCTCATTCTGTAGGATACATCAGAGAAAGATTTATGATAGCTGGAGTTGTAACTCTAATTAAGAAATCAGAGCATACTTCACAAATAGGAATATATGATAAAACATAAATGAGAGTCTCTCTGCTCATTTATAAAAGAATGCAAAGTCTGAGCATAGAAGCTGCAGAGCTGGTAAAATTTATACAATTTTCTTAAAAAACGTGTGCATAAGCAATGGAGATGAAGAAAGCTGATGGTGCCAGGCTATCAAAAGATATAGCATCTGGGGTCTTAAAGGCTTGAAGATAAACAAGCAGCCAACTAGCTCAGAAGCAACAAAGCCCACATGGAAGAAGCACAACAGCATG